AGATCCCTAGTTTAATGTGTAGCATTATGTACACCTGCACAGTACCTTCCTTGATCCATCATAAAAGCTCTAATCAAGCTTCAGTCCAGTCACGATTTGTGCAGTGCTTTTTCCAGGTCTTTATTTTCCAGTGTAAGAAACATTGTATGATGATCTGAAGATGATTAGCATTTTGGAGATAAAAGTGCATGTACAGGTACTGCAATTTTAGCTGTACTGGCTGAAAAGTACACTGAGCTGGTATAGTGGGGGTGGGTGGGCATGTGTGTGCGTGCACGTGCGTGTAAGTAATACAGTGTGTGGGCATCTGAAGTGCCAAGGTCCTATAAGCACTGCATAAGAAATTCAGTAGCTATAAGAATAACACAACAACATCCAAAGGGAAGGTGCCTCTTTCTTTTTCTTCTTCTTCAGTAATCCAATGGGTCACTTTTTTCTGTTTGTTTTCTAGAGTATTCGGTCTAAAGTAGAACTAACTGTTTGGGACAGTCCTGAAGATATTGGCCTGACCTTCACAGCCACGTGCCAAGATGGTTTGTCATATCCTGGACTCAGAAAGTGTGAGGATCTGCAAATAGGAGATACAGTAAGTTTGGACAACTTTAGCACTAGTCGATGGGTTCTTCTAATATTGCATTTGTGATCTTGGGGTCACAGCTTCACCCATTTGCCAAACATTCCCCACCTGTGTGATGTGGTGCTCATACTTTTTTCCTTTTTTGGCCTCAGACCAGTTAAGATAGCACCCAAGAAAATACTGGCATTCACAGCAGTAAGTCATGTAGCTTAATTCACACTCCTTCGAAGATGGGAATGCTAGCGTCATGTTTTCCAGCTCTGTGTCACATTTTCTTGAACAAGTTTCATAGATTTCATAGACATTAGGGGCTGGAAGGGACCTGGTTGTAGAACATTTTGGGCAAGAATTGGCCCAACCGTATGCATCATCATTTTACCTGTCTCCTTCTATCTCCACTAATCTCGCCTTTCCCGGGGTGTTAGGTATTATGCATTTTCCTTCAATTGGTGTTTGAGTTCCTTTATCCGCCTTTCCCAGACTAGACTCACTTACCACTATTCCATTGCATTCGTCTGCATCAAAAAGTCAGAAACACGCAGAAAACAATTTTCAGGTGGACCAGGAACTGTTACATTATGCAATGATGCAGAATCAATAGGGACTACAGTGCAAAACCCTCCTCCCCCTCTTCCCAGCCTTCCCCTAAATGTTAACATTATCCCACATCAGTTTTCCTGTTTATGAATTAGCACAAAATAGATTCTGATCTTTGCTCGGCTGGAATTTTTATGTTTATTACAGATGACTGAGTTGATCAGCTCAGAAAGGCTGCCTCTTTTGGAGGTATTTAGGGAAAATGCTGTAGCAACAAGATATGTTACTAGCAAAGACAAGCAATGGGCCAAAAATATGATAAGATCAGGAGATATTTTTGTTTTTAGATGTCTTTCTCTGAGGAGGATTCAATGTTTGGGTCTTTGATCTCTTTCTTTCCTATTGTAAATCTTCAGGTAGGCGTTAAGTCCTGCAGTATGACCTCTCCTGAATAAATGAGTATCCTCTTGTAATAAGAGAGACTCTTCTTGCAATCTTTCCAGCACGCCTAGGTCACGACACATTAGTGCTGCATAAATCTGAAGGGATAAGCGTCTATACAAATATGTTGTCTTGGATTAGGTACTATCCTCCTTCTAACGTGCCTGCAAAACAGGAGGACATATTTCAAGAGGGAGAGATTGTCATCTGGTATAAATCAGCATTGTTCCATTGAAGTCAGTGAAGTCAGGCCAGTTTATATAAGCTGAGCATCTGACCTTGTAAAGCATTGGTTTTTTGCTGTACTTAGGCGTTCAGTTGCTGAAGCCATTTCTACATTTTCCTTATTGTAGAAAAACTCAGGATTTTTCATAGGGTTATAGCATGCACTAAGTTTTAAAGCTGTGCTTAGGAAGTAAAAAATTAAAAAGCTTTGGTGGTAATACAGTATGACAGTAGTAATAATGGTATGGTGGTAGTAATACAGTATTAAAAAAATAAGAATCCCTCCTATTTAACAAACAGGACTGTTTCAGCATTTGCAGCTGACTGCCTGACTTTGAATCAGTTGGCCAAATTCATCTCTAGAACAAGTCCATTGGCGTTACGGAGGGATGGATTTTGCCGTTGTGACTGCAGCCAACTATGAATAGTCCAACTATGAATGGCATTTTTCTTGTAAGAACTGCAATAAGTAGGGATGGGGTGGTTAGGAATAGGGGGAGTCGGGGGGAGAATCCCTATTTAAATTGCAGTGTTGGGTCTGTGTATGGGATTTAGCATTGTAAGAATATGGCAAAGAGCAAAAATGACCCTCTTATACTGCCAGTTGTTGTTTTGTCTCTAATTACGTGGGATCTTTGCTCCAATCAAAGCCCCTCGCTATTATCCACTAACAAGTTGGCACACTCAACCAAGAGCTTCTGCTGCTCAGTCTGAGAGCTCATCCATGGTGCCTGGAAAAGGCAACAGAAGGCTGTATTCCCCCAAAAGACCTCTTCACGCAATTTTGGAGATCTGAAGGAACGGGCCTTTTCAAACGACATCGCAGTTCTCGGGAGAGGAAAAGTAGAAAAGATTCTGATGTCCTGAGCAGGAAGGGGGCAAATAATCTCATAAGCTATTTGAACCGCAATAGGTAGAGATAGGAAAAACTTGTTGCATCATTTAGTCCATCCCCTAGCATAGACAGGGGTCTCCAGTATATCGCGCAGTAAGATCTTGGCTACTATCATTTGGCATGTACACTGAGTTCCCATATCCCCTTCAGCTGTAGGGGGATTTGGCATTAAACGTGTTATCCCTCTTCCTGTTTTGCTGCTGCTATTAGCTCCCGTTTCCTCTCTGCTCCCCTCACCTTCTGCTGCGTGCCCCCCACCCCAGCGCTCTTGCCTTGTCTCCATCTACCAGGTGTCCTTTGTTCTATCCATTCAGTGCCTCCATGCAACTTTCTCCTTGAAGCAAACCCACTGCTCCTCAATATTTAAATCTCTCCCTCCCTGCCTTGTGAATTGCTGCCCTTTGTCATGCACGGGGTTTGCCTTGTCTCAGTTTGCCAGATCTAGGAGGCAGGGAAGCTTTTGTAGCATACCTGCATGTTTGTTTGCTGTGTGCCAGTTTCTACTGATGGTGCCACCACTAAGATGGCTTTGCCAGGACACAGGTGCTGGCAGTCCTAATGCAGTGCTGTATATTAAGCAGATACAGTGGTATATAAATACTTAATGTCTGTCCTTTTCCAGCTGAATATGCCAGACTCTTAGGGCACAGGGTAGGTGTTGCTCCATGTGTTGGCTTTGGGTTGTAGATAATGGTCTGTCTTCTCCTAGAGAAACAGCCTCCATGTGGATCAGTGAATGAGATGTTCACTGTCCAACACGGACACGCATGGAAGTCTACACCATGTTCTCAATTTCCTGCTTTTCTGCATTAACTCAGGGGCTAGCTACTACTGCAAAGATCAAATCTCTGCTGGAAACTGGAAAGGGAAAAAGATCTTTGCAACAGGCGGATTCATTCATTCATATTTAGGGCTTCATCCTCCCATAGTTGAAATGAATGGGTGATTATTCTCACCAATCCATGGAAAGCGGGATCTGGCTCTGAAATCTTTTAAAACAGTTTCCTTAAAGAAGATACCGCTGATAATGGGATCTGATCTGCTACAGTGTTGTTCTAAAGGCACTGGCTTTTACTGAAAAAAATTTACTGATCCCCTCAAGCTCAGACTTTCCAGTCTGGTTTCCTCTGTCATTTAACATGTTTTACCCCATTTTTTTTAGCCTTTATAGGTCTTATAAGAGCAATCACCATATTTGGGGTCAGGAAGGAATTTTGCCTCGTGGCCAGATCATTACGGACTGGGCGGTGGGGTGGGGGGCTGTCTTGCTTTGTAGTTGGGGAGGGGGGGTGCTTTGCCCTCCTCCTCTGATCTCTTCAGTATATTTTTAACAAACTTCGCAGCATTAGGATGTTGGCCATCTTGGTCCCCTTTTTTACCTATGACAGATTAGGGTATTAGGTCTTGTGTCAGGGTTAAACGTATAGTTTTGCTAAGAAGTTAGACAATAGATTTGCATGGGATGGTTTTGGATATGGATGATCATGCCTCAGATAGGGGATTGGACTACATGACATCTAAAAGTCCCTTCCAACCCTACTTCTCTGTAATTCTGAGTCAGATTAGTTTTTTTCCTTCTGTGAAGCAGGGATGTCATTGCTGTTGGTGGAAGTGGCTGCTGAGTTACCATCTGCCTATAACCATTTGGCAGAGAGGTGCAGAGCAGATTGCTTTCCAATAACAGAGAGAACTGAAGGTGACTCTTCAAAGGAGCAGAAGGATCCGTTTCCCTTTTATTTTTGTTTGATGTCTTTAAAACAAACTCAGATGATTTGTACTGTAGTAGGTAAGAGAAAGCCTCTGAATAAGCTGTGGCATGAAGGTAAAATACTCTTCACCAGAGTAACATCTTCCATGCAGGAATCTCAGAACATCTCTTGCACGTGGCTGGATCACAAGACGTGGAGCTAGAGCCTCTATATGGTAGTGATGATGCTGCTTTCTGCAAAGCAGCTCCATTCAGCCTATACACCTGCGTACAGAGGCAAGACTCCTTCATAATCTAGGTGCCGGGCTGTGAGGTTTCCTTAGTTTTCAAGGAGAAGCCCTGGTTCTGGTGTGCAACATGCCAGAATGGATGGGGATTGTGTTCGTGATTAGCAGTTCTGTTAGTAAAGTATTAGTAATTATTGGTGGAACTTCTGACAAAAAATACAGGACCAGTTTCTCATTATCAAGCAATAGGGGTGGGGAAAATGCACCTGCAGTTTCCATGTACAAATACTACGATTTAGGAGTGTGCATTCACAAAAGACCTGCTACGCATCCAGTCTCCACAGCTTGAGGACATTGCATCTACAAATTAGACCTGCGGATGTACTCCATTTTGACCTTGATCCTTGGACTGCTGATGTCGGGAAAATCTGGCTGAGTATTAGTTAATTTAGTTCTCTATTTTGACTAGAATTGCTGCTGCACCAGCAAGCATTTCTTCCCACTTCACAGAAACCAGAATCACCAATAATGAAGAAAATTACCACCAGTGGCTGGTGACTCTAATATGCCATGAAGCCTCTTCTTTATACTTGTGGTTTCTCTTAGCAAGACCTGGCCACAAAAAACTAAACATCTGGGTTAGTGGCTGAAATCTCTCTCAGGACAAACAGGTGCAGTGAGTCGCCTCCAGATCAATTTTTAAATGACTCTGCTATAAGCAGTAACGCAGATGAGTGCAAAAAGTGCTAAGTGAATGAAAGAAGATGGGGCAGAGGGAGGCTGTCAAGAGTCTTGAATGCGAAGACAAGCAGTCAGTCTGTTAGGACGGGGGAGGCCAACAGTGCGATGGGGTCTTCAAAGTGATTAGGTGTAAACTCTTTACACCAGAATCCTGCATGGGTATCACTGGCAAGATTGCATTTGGAAAACAATGATGGGAGCCGGTATAAGAGTTAACTTTAGCTTTGTGCATAGATACAGAAAGGAGCTGAGGATAGATCTTTGTGGGACCCTTGTAGGGACCTGGAAGGGAGAACGGTGAAGAACCACTGAAGGCTGTTGTCAGAGAAAGAGATTTAGAGAAGGGAAGAGATACGGAAGCAAAGGGAATATAAGATTCAAGAAGAATATCACAGTTGGCTAGCAGTATGCTGGCAAATCAAGGAATGTGAAGGTTGAGATCTGTCCAAGAAGTGGTCATTAGAAACTTTGACAAAAACAGCTTCAGTGTAAAGAACAGAAGCCAGACTGTAGAAGGTGGATGAACTGGAGGAGGGGACCATCGAGCCCAGGGGTGGGCAAAATGCAGCCCGCGGGCCGGATGCGCCCCTCCAGGCCATTCTATCTGGCCCGCGTAGCCCCTAAAAAATGTAGAAAATTAATATTTATCTGCCCCTGGCTGCCTGTCATGCGGCCCTCGATGGCTTGCCAAAACTCAGTAAGTGGCCCTCTGCCCAAAATAATTGCCCGCCCCTGATCTAGCCAGTAATGGCAAGCATCATGTCCAAAGAGCTTGGAGGTAAAAGGGAGATGGGATGGTGGTTGGAGAGACAGAAGTAGGGTTTTCTAAGGCAGTAGAGACTGGAATGCTTGTACCACGATGGGGAAAGAACCAGAAAAGGATGAAACATTAAGGGAAGTAAGGGAGGGTACAAGAACAAGCACAACAGAAATCAGGGATGGGATCGGATGCATTATGCCACTGGGGTCAAGTGAAGAGACTGGAGGAGGAGAGCAAGCAAGGAAACATCTTTGTTTTTGGCAGGAAAGAAGGAAGAGAGGGTTGTAGGAGGGAAACAGAAGGCAAGCCACAAGGAGGAGAAAGGTCAGCTCATCTTTATCTGGAAGACACTAGCAAGATCCTGTGCAGAGAGAGCAGGAGGAGGGGAGGGCTGGAGTGGCGAGTCAGAGATGATGAGCAGGTTCTGGGATTCAAAGGAATCACCGCAGTTTGAGCTAGGAAAGCAGGAGAACTTGAGAGCCTTGGTAGGAACCTGCCGCCTATATCACAATGGGGGATTTTGTAATTGCATAATTTTGTAACTGGTGTTTCACCCTCAGCCTCTCACATAACAATCCTGCTGGAATAGGTGGAGAGGCATCTGTATCCCAAGCCACTCTTACCTGGGGTAACAGGAACATTTTGGCAGCTACAAAAGCATCGTGCCGTTGTTGTTGCTTATTACTGGCAAGAGCCTGGGAACTTTAGTTGTATGCCAGGAGCTCAGTGTGTGGTGCTGCACAAACAGAATAAAAGGACTGTCCTTGCCCCAGAGGACTTGGATCCTCTGTCTCCCCCTTACACTGCTCCAGCTACAGCTTCTTCCTGCATCTTTTCCGTGGTTTGCAAAGATGAAACTTATTCCTGGACTGCTTCCGCTTATACTGCATCCCGTAAGATCTCCAAGTCCCTCACCAAGCTCGAATGACATTGATCTTTAAGGAGTCAAGAATCCAGCATAGTTTGGCACATTCACAATACAGTCTGGGTTCCAGATGTCCCTACTAAACTGTTTGAAATTGAAACTTGAAATGGCTTTAGACACCTATGAACAAATTAGTTTTCCACCCCCAGTGAACAAAACCCGGCATGTCCAAGTGCACTACTGCTGGCAAAGCAGCTATGTACAAAATAGCAGTTGTGTCCTAATCAACTTGGAACCACTTATATCGGAGAAAATAGGTTAGGGCAGGGTGGCACCTTGGAGACAAATTGGTTTAGAGGCATGCTTTCATAGGCAACAACTTGCTTTGTCGATGGTAAAATATAGATGTGTTCAGTAGGTAGCTGTGGCGCACGACGATGCTGTGGAAGAAACGCATTCAGCTCTTGCTCCAACTTGTGTGCTGCTGTCAAAATTGTGAATTAGGTTCCAGCTGCAGAGCCAGGTTGTGCCTCCTATTATATCTGCATAACTCCAGTGAAGGCAGCGAGGCTTATCACCTGAGGAAACGTCGGACCCTTTCTTCCCGGGGTTGACAGACAAGGCAGAATGACTCAATTTGGCTTTCATTTATGTTTACAGAGCTGGCAATTAGTAAAACAAAGCCTCTCTTTACTTGTGGCTGAGCAGTTGGCTACAGGAGCACTGTCATGCAGTAAACCTAGGGCTGGGCAAAGCCAATTTTTACCCTTCTCTGTCCTTGGAACAGACTCCCTTGAGCTCGGAAACATGCTGATTTCTAAAGACTCTTACTGATTATTTGTGACAGCATCTCTCGGTGCTAGATATGGCTAGGGGACCTTCAAAAGCATATAGTCACATAGACCAGATGAGCAAAGGTAGGAAGGAGAGGAGAGTGACCCTACCTAGGGTTGCACAGCAGGTCCGTGGCAGAGGTTAGGAGTACAACTTCAGCTCTTTCCAACCTCTGGCCAGAAGTTAACCATGACATAAAGTTGACTGGTTATGCTCCCTTCATTCATTCTTATGTCGTAACCTCCCTCTTTAGGTTTCCTTCGATGTGTCTGTCAAAGCTCAAAGCTGCCCAGCGGAGAACACCTCGCATACATTCACCATCAAACCGGCTGGGTTTCGGGACACGCTGGAAGTGCTGATCACCTACAACTGCCTTTGTGGATGTAGCAAACAGAACGAACAGAACAGCAGCAAGTGCAGCGGGAACGGGACCTACACCTGTGGATTATGCGAATGTGACCCAGGCTATCTAGGAGCCAAGTGTGAATGCGAAGAGAGAGAGAGTGGGACTATGTATAACATGTGCCGGGAGGCTGAAGGCAAAACCCTGTGCAGCGGCAGAGGGGAATGCAGCTGCAACCAGTGTGTCTGCTATGAAAGCGAGTTTGGCAAGATCTACGGGCTGTTCTGTGAATGTGACAACTTCTCCTGTGCCAGATACAAGGGCGTTCTGTGTTCAGGTGAGTCTGGTCTTCTCCCCACTTCTGCTCTTCCTTGCCTTTGCTCAAAGGTCAAGTCTTTCTGTCTCTTCTGAAATCCTCCCAAATTTCTTGGCTGCGATACAATTTTCGACTGTTACGGCATGCTTCAGCGGCCAGCAGTTACAAATTGCCATATGTTCTTGCTGAGATTTGTCCTCTTCACTTCTAGATTTACAGGGGAAAAATGAGATCTAGGAAGAAAACTGTCTGACTGATAATGAGCAAGGTGCGTGTTGTCCATTAGGACTGGGCTTCCAGTGACTCTGGAAAAGAAATATTACAAAGACCAGTGCTTACCAAAATACTTCTTCACCCAGGCTCGGTGCAGATCAGAAATGTTGAAAGGTCCCATCTGTGAGAGTTATGCACTCTTAGGGTACTAATGCAAACGTCTTCAGCATTTGAAACCCCACCATGAGAGAGAGGTGCTCTAGCACAGACTTCATAACCTTTGAGAAGCTTTACGGTCACTTCTTGATTTCAATTTGTGTTTGGTGTATTATACAGGTAGGTATATCATACAGCATTAACACTTTTAATTGCACATGAATTATTTGAAGTAGCCCATTAATAAGGTACAGATAAGTGACCTTCATTGTAGTTTTATCTGTCATGGAGAGAATGTGTGCTGAAGATATAGTTATGCAGTGATTCAATATACATTATCATTTCCATCCAATCCACCGGCAGAAAGGTTACTAATAGGCCCTTATTTTAAGGCAGCATTGCTAATTTTCAAAAAGAAGGCTAGATTTGCTAAACTATATTTAATTCCTCATCATTTTGAGGTCATGCAGTTAATGTGTTTGCAGTCAGCTGCTCTTTAATCTTGACACGGTGTGTTGAAAAGGAGTTGGCTTTTTTCTGTTTTGATGATGGCTGTTGACTTGGATGCAGCTTTACAACGATCCTCCTGTTTGCAGACAGAGCAGAGTAAAATGTTTTTATGTGATCTCTTCCAATGTTGGGATGACTTGGAAAAATGTTGGCACATTTTCCTGTTGCTATGTCATACTTTGAACGGACAGGGTTGTCTTGAACTAACCGCCTGTTGATCCAGTATCTTTAGCTGAGTTTCACCCTATTTGTGGAAGCCATTTTCTTTGTTTCATTTTCACAGTGTCACTTCCCAGGAACTGATTTAACAGCGTTTTCATAATATTTTCAAGGTGGCCAGGAAAAACGACAGGTTTGTTACAGGAAGATAGAACAGGCCAACGTTGCTTCCTGCTTCGGGATATTGCTCGGGTCATGAACCACCTAGACCATCCAGGATCAGAAGGGAAACGGAAATAAAATGCATTCGGCCAAGACACTGCAGGGTGGGAAAGGTTGCTACGAAAGAAAAATATAGTTGGAGATACCAGCTGTTGGGAATCTCCGTAGTTTTAGACAGTTTCCTCTGACCCATCAGAGGATCCCTGTGCAGTGACACTGAAGAAGGCGTTGAAATGTGCTGCTGGTCGGGTAATTGGTGCCACGGCACAGAGGCTCAGCGCTGATGAATGCCTCGGTGTAACACTTCAGCTGACTTTCCACACCAGCTGAACAGTGTGAGGCCTCTTAATCCAAAGAAGAATGCCTTGCTTACCTTCTGTTTGTGCTGCCCGGGCACGTTGCTGTGCCGAGCTTCCCAGGGCAGGCATCACTGAATAGCTGGATTTGGCTTTGCAGTAGTTTTAAGGTAATTCAGTATATACAGAGTCTTTTTCTCAGAGCTTTAAATGTGAACAAAAGCTGCCTTGCTTTTCTTTGTGGGGTGGCCTGGAACGTGATGCTTTCTGAACTTTAAGGGCAAGGAGTGTGAGTGTGCGTGGGAGTACATGATATTGCAGATGCTACACATTTGAATGATGTTGTCCTCTTTTGAGGATCTTGCTGGGCTCATCCGATCCATTAGCAAATGTCCTTTTTTGAGGATCTTGCTAGGGTCATCTGATACATTAGAAAATGAATCAGATGCCCCCCCTCCAAGTGCAGGGGGGCTGTACTCGATGATCCATAAAGTCCCTACCAGCCCCTAACAACTATGAAACTATCTGAGGATTCAAGTGGAGACCAAACCCACCTTTGCCAATGACTTGAAGACAAGTTCCAGTGAGAAAATGTGGGTTTGCTTCTGAGCAGAAATTGGTGTTTTTCTCCCTTACGTGGGTATGAGAGAGAAGAACCTCTACTCGGGTCACTATACACGATAGTCGTCTATTCTGAAGTAAAACAATCCATTGTTTTAGTGAATGCAGTAGGTCTAAATTGCCCCAGGTTATTTTCTTTGTGGGGTTTTACTTGTTTTGTCCTCATATAAAGATTGAGACTTAAGAAGTAAGTCCTTCCTCGTTTGTTCTGCCTCTATATCCTGTGCATTCACCTGTAAAACTCAAGGAAGCTAATGACAAGCCTCCCCTTATCCACGTCAGGCTTTGAATTGAATCTCCCACTGTGAAATGCCTGCGTGTAGTACTCCGGTTGCATAAGGCCTGATCCTGTACAATGCAGCGTCTGGTCTGCCCTATAGGTCTCACCAGCAGAAGCAGGAATCCCTGAGAAACGGGATGGAGTCGGGGAACCGAGGGCTATCTAGTCTACCCCCCGGCACAGATGCCAGATGCACTGTTTCCAAACCATCCCACTCTATGCTTAGCCTTGTCTTGAAACCCTTCAGTGAACCCCACAACTACCTGTTCCATGGTCCTGCTGCTTTTACTGTTAGGATTTTTTTGTTCCCGAGATTTTATTTCAATCTGTTTTGCTGCGGTTTAAACCCACGGCCTCATGTCCTGCCCTTTGCGGTAAGGAAGAACAATTTTCCTCCATCTTCTTTATGGCAGCCTCTCAAATATTTGACAACTGCTGTTGTGCCTCCTCTTCATTTCCTTTTCTGTAGACTAAACATACCTAGTTCCTCCAGTCTTTTCTTTGCATTGAACTCATCTGCCATGCTCTCAGTCTTTCAAGGAGGAGGGGGTCAGGGTCTGACTCACCCCCTACCCGTACACCTCAACATCCCTTGGGGTGATTTTGGGACTCTCACACCAGCCAGTGTCCTGTTGTACATTTTGTGCACACAGCTTCCTCCTCCTGCCTCTCTTGCACAACCTTTTGTGTCTGAAATGCTCTGTTCCCATTAAATCGCATGCAGACAAGCGCAGCTCTTGCAAACAGAATCACACCTGTTGAGGTTCAGCTGGTGTCCGTGAAATGCAGAAGTGAAAATGTCTGTGTGGATGGACTTTGCAGCCCTTCGACCTCTCCTTTGGGAATTTTTGGGTAGGGCCCTTCACGGAGAGGGGCTCATTAGTCCTCTCTGGTGATTAGTCTTACCTTTAGAAAGCTATTCAAAAGAAAAAAACCAAACCCTACAAGATGCTCCGTACCACTGAGGACTAGTGATTATGACATTTGGAATAGCATCTGTCACCTAAAAGGATCCAGCAGCAGTAGAGCAAGAGGCTGTATTGGGTATAGAAGTGTATCTCCTTCTCTACTGGATCACAGCAGCTGTTGAACAGGACCAAACCGAATAATTTGTGACTGTGTAGTCGGGCCCATTGATCTTTCCAGGTGGGCCAATGACGACGGTCTCAGAAGTTTCCAAGCTTTAGAGATTTTTTGGGCAGCAGCTTGTGTCCTGCGGGGTGTGTAAACAGGGTTGCACGGCGCTACGAAAACTGATGGAGTGTTTGCAAACAGAGCAAAAGGATCTATGTATGCCAGGAGGGAAACCGCGTTTCTCAGTAATTGGCAGAAAAATTCCAGTGCAAATGGTGAAAGTGTAGGTAGGGAGGACACGATCATCCAAACCGAGAAGCTGGTTAGGACTTCTGCTAATGTTCTTCCACCCTTAGGAAAGTCACAAAGGACTTTTGATCATGAGCTCATGCCTTATGTATACCTTTGCCCACTAACACCATCCTGTCAGGAATTGTTCTGGGACTTGTTGCAGTACAGATCCAGAAAGCGTGTCTCCTTCTGACTTCCGAGCGTAGGGCTGTAAGGAGATGACCTCCATGCATTGTTTGCTTCCAGGCTTTGCCAGTGCTATTCCAGTTCCTTTCCAATGGATGCAGCTTCCTTGGCCTTTGACAACTGCAGATCCGAGACTCCTTTGCAAAGCCAAGCAAAACAGGACTTCGCTCTACCGTTTTTCTAAAGTTTCTCTTTAAAAGTGTCAGTTCCTTGAGCAATTTTCTTGAATTGGATTGTGCAAGTTGCTTTTGAGTTACTTCATCTGGTGTCCTACTTATTTCCGTGGCAGGAGACAAGAGTGTTGGCAGACTAAGAAAATGCAAAGCAAGCTGCCTTATGTTACGACTTCCAAATACGTCTGGTGCCTCCATGTAGACTCTGCCCTGCATGTTTCTCACAGTCACTTCTTGGGATCCTTGATTTGTTTTCTCCCTGTGTTGGTGCCTTCCTTGGTTAATGATCAGATTGTTGCGATGGCTTCGCACTTGACTTGGTTCAAATTGCCACCATTAGTTTTTTGATCTGTTGGCAGTTTTTATTAGATTCAAGGGCACCTTCTTGTAGAAAAAAATATACTGTAAAATAAGAGAAAAAATAAAGCGAAGGGAAAGAAGATGTCCTTTTGGTCACTGGGGTTTTAAGCCTTCCTCCTCTTGGGACCCCTATGATTTAGTCCTCATGGGAAACCAGTCCTGGTCCTTGGCACCCAGATGTATTCGAGGATGTACCATGGGAATCCAGGTGATGGGATATGGTCTCTGGCACTGCAGGAGGAACAGTAGCCAGATGGCTTAGGATTGTGGATTTTGGATGGTTTTAAAAAACAGGCTTTAAACAACCTTTTTATTATATTTGTATTCTGGACACTCTGGGTAATGCCTTAAGGCCCTAAACAGGGCCTTAAGGCCCTAAAGATGCGGACACGACATAGAGGGATGCACCTGGTGCTTAAAGAAGAGACCCAGGAAAGGCTGAACAAGGTGAAGTGACCTGACCAAGGTCATACAGCAGTT